GGGACGTCTGCTACTACGCCAGCCGCAATGACAAGTCCTACTGGCTGTCCACCACCGCCCCACTGCCGATGATGCCCGTGGCCGAGGACGAAATCAAGCCCTACATCAGCCGCTGCTCGGTGTGCGAGGCCCCGGCCGTCGCCATCGCCGTCCACAGTCAGGACGTCTCCATCCCCCACTGCCCGGCCGGGTGGCGGAGCCTGTGGATCGGATACTCCTTCCTCATGGTATGTGGTGCTTGCCAGCGCTCTCTCAGAACATGGAACCAGGTAGCAATCGAGTTCCTCTCCCCACCCACACCCTGGCTGGGGAAGCAGCAAGAACAGCTGCCAAAAATACTCAGGCAGTTATTCACGGCACAGGGCGCCTGGCCTGGGGGAGGAGGGAGAGCCGGGCCAGCCTGCACATTTACCTGCGCTTTGTTGCCTGAGCCACGGGCCAAGGCCTGGGCTCCCCCAACCCAGAGGGGACCCATTCATTTGCCACCAAGCCTTTGTCATTAGGATACATTTGGCTCGTTATCCATCTTCCTAAGCAGAACACAAAAGGTAAAGAAGCTCTTCTGGCTTATCCTACGGCTAAACAAAGGGAAGAATTTTATCCAGAATCCTAAGTATCTCATGTAGAATCTATCTAGAACCTAAAGTGCCCTCAAGATACATTCATTAACAAGTCAGTTTAAAGCAGATAGGTGTATGCTGACGAGGAAAAGCCTGGAATCCCACTGTCAGATCACCTTTGGGTATAAATAGAGAACTCGGGTTTGGCCAGCTTAAGTTTTTAGTTTTAAGGGAATTGACTGCACCAGGGAGTGTCCCTTACAATTTCCCTACCTACTCCACCATTGTAGGGGGAAAGGAAAGTCCAGTGGGGGCAGTGGGCCTTCTGCTTAATTTATATTGATTGTGAATGTCATAACCCCATCATCACTCCAGCCATGGTGACGTGTTAAATATTTCATAAATAACATTAATAACATAATATATAACTGGATGCACAGAAACTCAGAACCCTTACTCAGCCCGGCTGGTCCCAACTCTGAGGCTTCCAGCCTGGGGCTTCCCCCAGAGCCCATCTTGGCTGCCCCCAGGATCTCCCCTGGGGACCCTTTTCCAGGGCCTGGCAGCTCCCGGGCATGGCCTCAGCTCTCCCAGACCAAAGTGGGGCCTGAGACGCCTCCTGAAGATATGCCGGCTTCTCCCGGCCTGTTTACAATAAACAAGAGCGTGGTAGCTCTGGCTGGAAAGGCGTCTGCATTTTGTGAGCAGAAAACTTTTCAAAGGTTTTGGTGTTTTGGTGGTGCTTGCCCAAATACAGGCACCTCTTTTATTCCCTGCAAACTGAGGCTGAGATATTCCTGTTCTAAATGAAAAGGTTCTGACAACCCACTCACCATTCAAAGCTTACCCTGCCAAGCCAAAGGGCAGTCTGTCATAGCTCAGCTTTGCGATCCAGGGACCTAGCATGCACCTTCATAGGATCTAAAAATGTTCGTGAAGCAAAAAGGAAGCAGAATTTGAAAGTGGCAAAGAAAATACCCTCTGACACTTGGCCTCGTCTCCCAGCCGGCAGCTGCTGGGTCACCTCCAGGAACTAATTGCTTAACCAACAACCCTCTAACTAGAAAAAAATTTAATTACACAAGAGTACCTGTTCGTTGTTGAAAAATCAGCAAGTAGAGGTCTTCTAAGAAGAAAACGAACGAGAAACACTCATATAGACTCCTTCCCTCCTCATAAAGGGTAACAGAGGAGGGGCGGGGAGGGGTCGCTTTGGGGAGAGATGCTTATTTTTAACTTAACCTCAGAAGCTGATCCACATCTTGATTTTATTTTTTCTTTAAAACAAAAGTCAACATTTTGGTATCCCTTCTCTCAGGCCAATGCTTCATTCTTTGAGTGGGTGATCAGTGAGATGATATTTTTGCCCCCAAATGTAGTCAACTATATCTACTGCTTTTGCCATATATATATTAGAGCGGAAGGGAGAGAGGGAGGGAGGGATAGAAACGTCAAGGATGAGAAAGAATTCTTAGCTGCCTCCTGCACGCTCCCTACTGGAGACTGAGCCCCCAACCCATGCATGTGCCCTGACCAGGAGCCACACCAGACGGTCACTGCTTTTGCTTTTGTTCTAGTTGTCACTTAATAACACATTGGGACTGTCCATTTATGTGCACGAACCCTACCCTGCAGCATGCCTGCCACCCAGCTCTGCTTCCTACATGTCTACCCCGAGTTACTTAGCCAAGCCCCTAGCAGTGAAGGGCATGTTGCAGGTGGTCTGTGTTGACACAGACAGATGCTCACGGTGGTTGTTCAGTTAGGGGGAGGGGCATCACTTACAGTCTTCCCCGGTCTGTCCCAGGTGAGTGTGCTCACAGCCCCCCTCTCTCCTTCCCCGCAGCACACAGCCGCAGGCGATGAAGGTGGTGGCCAGTCCCTGGTGTCGCCAGGCAGCTGTCTGGAGGACTTCCGTGCCACGCCTTTCATTGAGTGCAACGGAGGCCGTGGGACCTGCCACTACTTCGCCAACAAGTACAGCTTCTGGCTCACCACCATCCCCGAGCAGAGCTTCCAAGGCTCGCCCTCCGCCGACACGCTCAAGGCGGGGCTCATCCGGACGCACATCAGCCGCTGCCAGGTGTGCATGAAGAACCTGTGATGGACGCGCCGGGCTCGCAGGCGCCGCCCCACCCGGACGCACTTCTCTGCAGGTTGACATTCAGCTGGGGCCACGTTGGTGCTTATTCTTAATTTATTACCTCAGGTGCTGACCCAAAAGTTGATTTCAGTTTTTTCTGTAAAAACAAACAAAGGTCACCAAAGGAATCCAGCACCAGTACTTCTATCAAATAGCCACTTGTCATCCATTCATAGGTGCTAGCCACGGTCTCCACTCTGCAGAGTGAAGCCCTCCTCCGACACTGCGACCCTCCGAGATGGAAAACTATTAACAGCCCAGCACTCCCTGTCAGGCCGCACTAGACTATTATGCGCTAGGTGTAACTAACTTCTTAACATGTACCTCTGTAGTCACCGTACTTTCAAACGCCACAGACAGCCCACTCATTTAACTCATTTAATGGGGTGGTATAGACAAATGAAGCCATACAGCCCAAGGGCTCCTGAATTCATTGCCACTGTTCCCACATGAGGGTCTCCTGGGGAAAGACCCGACCCTGCCCACTAAGCCAACGCAATGACTCAATGACAGCATGATCTTCTCCCAAAGCTGTTGGTGTGAATTATCCTAACCCCCTCGAGGCCAAGAAGACACTGATAGTCACACACCAGCTGTCATTCTTTCCACCACAGCCTTACAGGTCACTGGGTTTGGCAAAACTCACATAGAAACAAAGACCTTCTAACTGTCTGTTGTCAGCCAGGCTACTTGACGGCAAACTCCGAACAGTCAGAAGTGATGTTTCTACTGCCCCCTGGCCGCCCTGGAGATTGACCCTCCATTTTTCTGTACACTGTCCTCTATCATGAACGTAAAATAAAAGTTGGTTTTGAACATTTTTATACCCCCAGTTGTTGGCTGCCTTCATTTTCTCAAGTCTATCTATAGAGCCCAGAATTTGCTGTGACCCGGAGACACTGCATCTGTTGCAGGTGGTCTGTGTTGCAGGTGGGCTGTGCTGACTTAGGTGCTGAGCCACACAGGGCCCCGGAGCTATGTCCTTGAGTTTTGTTAGACTTGAACCCAAGTCGGTGGTATTGTCATTCCGTTCTCAGGGACCGGTCTTTGTGTTTATAATGCTTCGTGTTTGCAGAAAGCACCCTAACCATCACAGGAGGAATTAGGGGTTCCCAAAGCCATTCCCTTCATTTCAATATGACAGCCCAAGTCAAATCTCAGTATTTCCAAGAAATAGTCTCCAAGACCCATTTCTGCCTTTGGGTGTTTTCCTGGGACCCAGCTGACCCTTGGGAACCCTACTCACAGCATGTAATTTTACCCTTTAAAAGTCAATCACATAGTAAACTTTTTCGGAGAATAATTTCCACCTAACGAAATAAGTATTCCACCTGATAACGTTATTTGAAAGAGGTCCGCAGCCCTTTGGCTTGCATTTCCCCAGAAGCTGACCGAGACAAGGATTCTGCAGAGGAGGGTTATTCGGGGACATGGTTCCAGGGAATGGAGTGGGCCCTGGGCAGAGTGAACCCAGGAAGGAGGGCACCTTATGAAGGGGGCTGCCCTTAGCAATTTAGGGTTTTATCCTGCTAGGGACCTGCTAAGGAAGGCCACAGAAAAGCCTCAGATTGTCCCGCCCAGGCATAGGAGAGGGACATTTACAATCTCCAGTTCTTGCCCGCAGTGGTCAGGGTTGCCTAAGACTGTCAGCACTTACATGCCTGAGTGGGCTCCGGCAGCATCCCACATGGAGGTAGTAAAGCTGATGCAAGGTAGGCTAGCTACACCTGTACACAGCTGGTTTCCATAGCAACAGCTATAGCAGCGAGATGGGTTAAGAGGCGGAGGCCAGGACTGGAAAGATGCCCAGCACAGCGCCTCTCCACAAAGCTGCTGGAGGCAGTTGTTTATTCAGACTCCAATCCCCACAATCAAAGGAGCAGACACCAAGTTCATCACTGTCCTGACACACTTGGTTTAGATTTGATGCCTCTGTGCTTCACACTTCAGAGTTCGGTGCTGAGCCACAAAGGGCAGGCACCAGCATCCTCCCTAGCAAGACACCCTCAATAGCTCCTGACACCCTCCCCACCTGCAGGCTGACTCTTAGGGGGACTTGCAGAATGCAGGGCAGACTCACAGAGCCCTGCCCCCCATCCACGGCCAAGTTCGAGAACAAAGGGCAGCTGGGGTGGAAGCAGGCTCAGAAGCTGTGGGTCATGCAATGGCATAAACTGGCTGTAAAACTGCAGCCATTTCCAAAGAGGCCGTTTCATCATATGGGGTCAGGGTCCAGCTTCTCGGCCACACAGGGGAGTGAAGGGGTGAATGAGGCCACCAGAGGGCGAGGCCAAGGAGGATGCTGGGAATTGCCCCTGGAGACACACACACTGTGCATCCTGGAGTTGACAGTGGCCCTCCCCAGGCCGACCAGTCCTGTACGGGGGAATGGGAGTGCAGGACCTGCCCTGTTCACTTCACGGAGAAGCCAGCAGCCCTGGGCCTGTCAGACAAGCCCTAGGAGATGGCTTCTAGGCCTGCATGACTTTCTCCAATGGAAGCAACTGGATGAAGGGCTACAATGCAGGATGGCTCCTCTTGTCTTGGGCAGTGGGTATCTGCCAATTAGAGACCTGAACCCCCAAGAAAAACCTTGGCAAAACACAAGCACAGCAGCCAATGGAATGGAGCATTTGAAGCCCAGAGTCAGGTTCCCAGGTGCCCTAACCTGGAAGGATGTGGACTTGGGTGAGACCTGGGTATGCATCCTTTCCAGCCACTGGGGGGCTCTGGCCTTAGACACACCTTCCCTTGCTCTGGGGTTCAGGCCTCACACCTTCAAACCCCATGCCTTCCAGTCCCTCCTCCTGGGGGAGGTGCCTGTGAGTTCAAGGCCAATCCAAGGGAGGGGAGGGCAGGGAGCAACACCGATGCTTGCAGACTAGGCGGTCACCTGCTCAGAAGTTACTACAAAGGGGCATCCTCAGCCCAGCAGCTTTCAGAACAGACACACTGCAGGCCCCACAGCTCCGCCCGCTTCCGACAGTGCAGGTCCAAGGGGTCCAGCTTTGAGACGTGGGATCAGAGACCACTTCAGGCCAAGAGAGAAAGTGCTCATGGACGGGCAGGTAGGAGGGCCAGGGAGGCATGAGGGCCAAATTACATTTAAAAAGTGCCACCCGGAACTCCCCCGGCCACAGATTTGCCTCCAAAACATTCTAAACACCTGGAGGTTCTCAGTCACAGGCTGCTAGGACCCAAGGCCTTGCCTTCCTCAAAGTAATTACAGCTGGCCCTTGAATGATACAGGCTTGAACTGCACAGGTCCACTTACACACGGGTTCTTTTCAATAAATTGTACAGTTCTGTAAACGTATTTTCTCTTCCTTATGACTTTCTTAATAACACTTTCTTTTCTCTACTTTATTGTAAGGGTAGAGTATATAATACATTTAACATAAAAAATGTGTGTTCATTGGCTCCTAATGCTATTGGTACGACTTCCGGTCAACAGAAGGCCATTAGTGGTTAAGTTAGAGGGAGTCAAAGGTTATATGCAGGTTTTTGACTGTGTGGGGCTCAGCACCCAGCCCCCGCTCTGTTTAAAGGTCAAACTGTGGTTGGCATCCCACACTCGGCACTCTACGGAATCAGGGTCACCGGAGCATGGAAGAGGCAGAAGTCACTTTCACTTCCCCTTCTCTCTGGAGGACAAACACCATCTCTCTGATCCATGTCACTGGCTTCGAGCACCAGGCTTACCTCTGTTACAGGGAAACTGTACGCTGGAGGTGCGTGGCTGCCAGACATTTGTGTGAGAGGATTTTTCTGGCACAGAAGGCAGCTCTGTTCAAACCGGATGTCAGATTCAGAAAGGACAAAGATGCACTTTTTGTTTTTTTTAATCCTCACCTGAGGATATTTTTTCCATTTTTAGAGAGAGGAAAAGGGAGAGAAAGACAGACAGACATATATTGGCTG